GTACATGCCACTGATGTTCTTCGTGCTGGCACAATTCATCATCTTGGCGGTACCTATATACCCCATCGCTGGGGCCGACCTGTCTGCTGCCTGCAAGGGGAAGAACGGCTGCTTCAGAACGCCCGCGTCCCGCTGAGCACGCATGTGCATCCACCGCGCCACGGTGCTCCAAGAAGACCCGATCACGTGGACATTCTGAAACATACTCTCCCGGAGCCTACGGTCATCGGGTTTCAACTGCATGGCGTTCCACGTGGCCTGGATGGCTCCAAGGGACCTGCTTCGTTGGGTTGCGCAGGAACGCCATAATATCCCTGACATTCGGCTCCTCGATATTGTTGTGCACCGACAGATCGAGGCACCGCGGCGCGTGGCAGAAGAAGTCCGTCACGGACTGGCACTCTGGAGCGAGGTTGATGCCGGCCACCGCCAGCTCCTCGAAGCAAGAGATGAGGGACACTTTACCCGCTGTAAATTTCCGCTCTGAGAAATCTCCCAGGTGGATCACGACGGGGATCCGGCGGGAAACGCCACCCATATGCTCGCACTCCTTTTCCTCCGCGCCCCACATGGCTTTGCGTTCGGCGTAAGACAGGACGACGAGCATGTTGTACAGGCTGGGCGAGATTATGCCCCCTCATCTAGGACCAAACATCTGACCGCTTCCCAAATGTCTTGTAGCATTTTGAACGCGCCTCCAGAGGGTATATCCTTGTTCCTGAAGGGCCACGCTCCTATGACCCCCGCCCGGTGGCAACTGACAGCCTTGTATGCGGGTGGAGATCTTCGCGGCCTGCGGCTGCCTCGCGCAAACAAAAAGCGTGGATTTCGCCTTGCCATGTTTCACGGGGAACAGCGCGTCCATGGCCGGCAAGACCATCTCCTGTACCATGGCGATCTTCTTGCTGTCGCCCTGGCCGGAGAGCAGGAACTGGAACGTCTTCCTCTTCGCATGCACGAACATGCTGCCATCCGCTAATTATCTTCCAGTCCTCGTCCCACACCGTGTTGCAGGCGTTCGCGAACGCCGTGGCGATCAGGGCCTGGTCGGGTTTCAGGGGGCGGCGTTCCTGCTCGCCCGCCCTCGGGTTGAGCACGCCGTCTTCGAACTTCTGTGCGGGGCGCTTCACGAAGTCGCTGGGCCGCTGCAGCTCCTCCGATGGCTCCCGCCGCGCCTGCGCTTCCTCGGACGGCATCGCGCAGGCGCCCGCTGCCTCGCCGTCGTCCCGCGCAGGGCGTCGTCCGTGGGCACGTCCGCGTGCTTCTGCCCCCCCCCTTGGACGTCGCACTTCAGGGCGTGGTCTGCGCGCCGCGGCGCGTCGGCGTCAAGTCGGCCGGGAGAAACCGCTAGTTTCCACCCTTCTACGCAGAGAAGCGCACATCCTTACTCAGGTTTTCCATCTTGGGTTCCTGATGCCTCCCGGTGGGCCCATGTATCCAATCTGAAAACATTCAACTTTGAAGCGATGTGGCGCCATGTGTGCGCGGATGCAGCAGTGCGGGAAGAATGGGGGAGGTTTGGGATGGATGGTTACACCACAGCGTTTCTTTTGTTTCTTCCCAAGGGGCGGCCACCCCTTGTTCTCGGTCGCGTCGTAAGATTGTGTCTGGGTCTCTAAAAACCTCAACGAGGTCCGAAATACACCCGGAAACCAAAAGAAGACTATTCCAAATGACCCGACTAAAACCGCAAAGCGTCCAACACACGTGGGCATGCTGGGAAATTATCCAGCAGGAGACGGGTCATGGACCCCCGGGGTCTCCCCACGACGGACCGTCCATGCTAGACGAATTTGTGACGGTCCTGGGGCACGGGAGCGGCCCCACGAGGTCGAAAACGACGGAAAAAACCTCACGACTTGCAAGCGACCAAGTGGGTCTGACTTGGATGGGCCCCGAAGAAATCGTCCAAGACGGGAGATAAAACGAAATCGACGTAAAATCGGCCAACAAACCCCTCTTGGGGTCCATTTGGTGAATTTTTGCGCCTCCGTTTTTACCGGCCACGGGACCCGGAAACGGCCCCCCGAGGCAGACAAGGCAGAATACCTTCTCGAACCCAGAAACTTGAACATCGCCCTCGACAAGCCCCAAATGTTCCGCCACACGCGCGCCAACCCAACCCCCGAACACTCTTTGCGCGTCGGCTTCCTCATGGGGCCCCATCTTTATCTCCCAAGTCGCCGACTCGCAGTGACGTGCCCGTTGGGTGCCCAGCGGTCAGCGCCACCGCGGCCGCGTCGGTCGCGCCAAACTAGCTGGCAAGTGCGCGCGCGTGCTTGGGTTGGCGCGGCCGCAGACATGCACCAGCCAACGCCAATGACTCATCGCAGTCGCCGCCAGCATGGGTTTTGCAAACCAAATTGTGGGTGGGTGTGTGTGATGCTTGCAAGAGCGTGGAACGGTTTATCTCGTTTGTACAAAACCATTTGCGCCGCACGTATTTTACCACAACTATTGCACTGCATGCTTTGCACCACATAGGTTGCACAACATATGTTGCATGACGTATGAGGCAAAACATAGAGTGCACACCATACATCGGACCGCATATGTTGTACCACGCAGGTCTCCACACATACATTCACATCATATATTACGCAACGTTGGTTGTATCACAGATATTGCACCACGTGGATTGCGCACCATATTCACACAACAGAGATGCCGTCACATATATTGGGCATCGCAGATTGCACCACATATATTGCACAACATCGGTTGGGTCCACGCTGGCTGAAATTCTTTTGTTGCTTGATTGCTAAATGATCGCTCGTAAAAATCGTACCGTATGCTCGGAATGACCCCGCGAATTCCGCGGGGCACTGCGGAGCATCTTTAAGGCATCCTTGGGTACACCCTACAAACCACGAGAAGTCCGCGCTTTCAGGGCCACAATCCATTTTAAAAAGCTGTGGGTCTGGCTCCCGCGCCTGTCGCAGTTCAGAGGCCCACCACAACGGCCTTCAAACCCTCAGAAACGCCAAGATGGCCTCAAAAAGAGCTGCACCTAGTGGTACCGACTCTGGTCAAAACGGTACCCCCGAACCAGCACCGATTACGAAACATGCGTGCCAGTTTGCCTCGCCGCCACCGCCACCGCCGTCGCCGATGTTTACAACCCATCGTGGGATTCTTGTTCCCACCAGTGGATGAAAGGCTTCCTGTCAACTCATTTCTCCAATAGTGGTTGGTCACGATGATTCGTAAACAAAATAAGGTCGTCGTTCTGAGGTGCAAGGTCCAGCGACTACAACATTAAGCTTCGGTAGGGCGCTTATCCTTAGTACAATCGGACCTAGGAAAGAAAATCATCTCCAAAGAACATGAGATCCTCCAAACACACAGAACATCCAAGGGTACTTTCCCTCAATATGCACAATCACATCCAACAAACACGTAAAACACCCAAATATCCTTGCCGAACCGACCTCGATCCTATACTTCGGGCCGACCGTAAGGTTGCCAGCGATGGCTTCGAATGACATGCAAGTGGCTCAAAGGAGGAAGGCCCAAAACGCATCTGAGAGTGGCCTGACACGGTCCCGCGAAGCCTCTGCAGGCCCCTGGTGAATCGGCGGCGAGCGAGGGGGGGACGTGAGAAGGAGAAAGCCTTCTCAGAAATCCCTTCGGCCATTTGAACGGTTTTCCGTATCTTCGGGGAGGGCTTAGAGAGCT